CACCTGCAGCTTGGCAGGTGGCTGTAAAGTCCCTAGGGTGGCGGAAGCCCAGGCCACAGGGCAGCCTATGGCAGCAGCCAGGGCTCCTTCCTGTAAATTGAAGAGGCTGGGAAGCCAGGGAGAGCTTGTAGCGGTGGGCCTGGGGAGTCATGAGCAGGGTGCCTCCAGGGGAGGGCGTAGGGGTGGTATGGAATGGATGAGGCTGGACAGGCAGAAGCCCAGCTCAAGTGGACTCTAGCCACAGCAGCCTCCAGGGATGGAGGGACAGGAGCCGAGTGGCCCATCCTCTCTGCAGGCAGTTCTGGCCCTCTGTGTGCAGTTTGCTCTTGTTCTTTGATGGCTCAGAGGCACTGGCTGCCAGCAGCCCCTTGCCTCCTTCTGCTTGTCTGCAGAGACAGTGTCCAGGGCACATGCAGTACTGGCTACAGGAAGGATAGTCACTGTGGAGGTCCTTATCCATGAAAGCTGGGGACCCCAGTCCGTCTAACCTTGAGCCTCAGTTCCCCCTGGAGTAACCTTGCTCACTAAAGATGCAACGAGCTTCAGGAGAGAAAGGGGAACCATCATAAAAGGTAGAAGATGGGGCTGGGGTGTGGCTCAGTGGCACAACACTTGCCTACCATGTGCCAGCCAGGCCCTGACTTCCATCCCCACTACCACAAAAACAAAGACCACAAAAACAAAAACAGACAACCCCGTGAACAACAACAAAACACAGAAAGAAAGATTTCTAGACTTCTCCTTGGTGCCAAACCCTCAGTTGACTTTGTCTTTTAGAAAACACAGCAGTAGAGCTGACCTTCCTTAAACCTCCTGGGCTTTCTGGCAACTCAGCACACTCCAGGGCTCCACTGCCACCTCATTGTGATCCTAAGCACCCATCACTGTAGCCCCATGAGCATTGTGGGGCGCCAGGCACCCTGCGTTGTAGCCCAGCACAATTATCCACCCTGTCCATTCCCTGCTCCTTTCAAGAGCCTGCATCAGCCCCCTACCCAGCAGCTCAGCCCCCAGCCTGTCAGTCCCTGTTTTGATCTCTCTCTTCAGACACCATAAAGACCCCTGTCTACATCCTACAGCTTCAAGATGTTCCTATTGTAACTCCCCTTTCTAGAGATATGCAGACTCATCTGCCTGAAGTCCATCAACATCTTAGCCTGGAAATTTCAGCTACTTCCTTTCCCAGGGATCCCTCAATGCCCAGATGAATCACAGATGGTGGGAGGGAGGGACAGTGACACCAGTCTTCTTATCTGTAAAATGGGGTAACAAGCATGCTAGTCCCTTGGGAAAGTATTGGGGATTGAGAGAATAATCCTGGAGCCACTTATGGCTCCCTCATCAGTAAGCGTGACACTCCCATTATAGCCGCACCATTGTCATCAGGGATGGGAGTCTGCCTGGCACCCCTAAACTCTTGGAGGAGGCCTCAGAGGGTCTCTGCTGCTCCCCATGGGACTCCAACATGGATCCCATTCTATCTGACCCCATTCCCTCCTCCTTCTCCACCTCTGCTGCCCAGTCCTAGGTGTCATCTGATTTTCTACATTTGGGACATTCCAGTTTCGTTCTTCACAGCAAGAAAATCAAATAACAGGCAGCTGGAGTGCTCATTAAGAGTCCCAGAGCAGGAGAGAGGCGCTGATGGGGGAGAGTCAGCTGAAGTCTGGAAACCATACTTCCAGCTCCCCCGGTCCTCCTCTCCAGGCCTGGCCCCTCAGATCCACTGCTGGCTTGTCTGCCTCAAGCCCCCTCTCCTACTGGAGTCCCTTAGCTTGATGTTTCCTCCCAGTACCATCTTCCTGTGCAGATACCATCTCTGCCTTCAGGGTGCTTGTGTGCCTGGATTCTTGCCTTCAGGACATTGCACAGGCTGCGCTTTCCCAACCTGGCCCTTTCCAATGCCTCCTCCTTCCTTCAAGGTATAACTCAGGTTCATGTGCCTTAAGGATGGCTTTCCTGGCCCCAAAGCCCTCCCTAAGCATCCTCTGGTTCAGAGTATGATCACCAGCGGTAGTGCTTCCCAGCACCTCTGCCTCCTCTGCCATCTATAGGGAAGCCGAAAGTGTGTCCGGATGGCCCAGCTTGCATTAGGCCACCTGAGAATCTAGCCTTGGCCCCCGAGGCAGCTCCCTAGTCTAGGCAGCTCCCAGCTGCCTGTGTATGCATGAGGAAGCTCCTTCGCACAAGCATGTCACAGACCTGACCCCCTCCTCCCTGTGTGGGCCTCTGTCTCCCTCTCCTTTCTTACCCATTTTCTCTCTTCAAATAGCCAAGGGTGGGTTTCATGAGTTCTGGGACTTCACGACAGGAACTAAAGCTGCTCTAGAGCAGCGCTGACCCAATTTTCTGCCAGAATGTGCAGGTGTTGTGTCTGCCATGCCAGAGTGGATGCTGAGCACCGGACGTGAGCAGGTGGGGGCCTGCAGAACTCCATTCCACTTAGATGTAATAAGTCACTTGACCTCTGCCTACTGTTTGGGATTGGAAGGGCCTAGAGTATGTCTCCAAGAGCCTCAGGACTTTGGACCCCATCCTCCTAACAGGCCAGGCTCCACCCACAGGGCAGCTTCCTCCCTGTAGCTCCATCACCTTCTCCTTTTGCCCCTATAGCCACTATGTCTAGTGACTCTTTTCAGCCCTTCCCCACCCCTGCCCTGGGTGGGGATACCCTCTGCCTTACTGGTTCACCTGCTTGAGAGTGCCCCTCCCCTTTTGCAATAGTGGGGATGGAAGCTAGGACCTTTTCTGTAGAGTATAGTTGGCAAGCACTATACCATTTGGCCCATACCTCCAGCCCTTTTTAACTTGTGTTCGGAGACAAGGTCTGGCTGAGTTACATAAGTTGGTCTAGAACTCATGATTCTTCTATCTCAGCCTCCTGAGTGCTAGGATTATAGGCAGGTACCATTGTACCTGGCTCAAACTCTCACTCTAGGGAAATAAGTACTCTCCTCAATATTCTTTGATGGCTCCCCATTACCCCATTGTAGATTTGTTCCTAAAACCCCCTCTTGATGTGGGCTGTCTAGCTCTCTTCAGGCCTATCTTCAACCAGAGTTCTGGCCTTCCTTCAGTTTCCTGGACAAACCCCTCCCTCTGGCTCCTGCTTCAGAAGCTGCCCTTCAGCTCCTCAATGCAAAGTCCCCCATTCACCCCCTTTTTCTCTTGGCAAAATCCTGTTCACTCTTCAAATCTTTACTTAAGAGTCACTTCCTCAGGAAGCCCACCACGATTGTTACCACCATCAGACCTCATTGCCTCTAAGACATTTTCATGATTGTAGGTTTTTTTTCTGTCCATTTTCCATTACAATGAGCAGGATAGAACTGTGTCTCCTGCAATGCCCAACCCATAGCTGGCCCTCAGGAAATGATGGCGGAACACAGTGGAAGGAGGATCGCACACAGAATGAGGATGCTTAGGTGACCCTGAGCAGCCACTGCTCCTGTAGGAGCCAGGCTCAGGGGGTGCCTGGGAAAATACCTGCTGCCCTCTTACTACTCAGCCAGTGCTTTCTGCACACCCAGCCAGCCATCAAAAGCTGCCTGCTGCTACAGGGAAGCCCAGAGACTACCCCAGGCCCAAGGGACCATGGATGGCCTGACCCAGCCCTCTGGATTCCCTGGGGCCCTGAGAAGCGTGGGAATGAGCTGGCAGCAGCAGGCATGGGGCATCACCAGTACCAGTGATCTGCTCTGTGGGTGACCTCTCTGCTCTGGCCCATGATTCTCACCCTACACTACCCTCCAGGGAACTGCCCTGGCAGAGGAACGGATTTGGAAAGGAACTGGCAGCACCCTGTTAAACTAGCTCTTCACCCAGCACCATTGGATCTAGACTCTAATGTTCGCCACTGCCTCGGCCATTCTTCCATCCAGAGCTGTTAGAGTATTTGTCCCAGGTGGCACAGCATGGAAGATCCAGATAAAACCTAGGGTTGGGAGCTCCATACCCTTTCCGCTAAGTAAGAGACTATATACCAAGCTTCTCCTAGACAATTTCTATGGCCAGCCTGCTCCAGGACCACTTCCCAGATTTCTGCCACTCTGGCCACTTGTCCTCCCTCCCTGGGCCCTAGTCGTTCATCTTTGTTATCCAAATTCAGTAAACCCCAGCCTGTATTCCTCTAGGTCCCGGCTTTCCTCTGGTGGGTGTCAAGAGTACCCTTTCTTTCTAGGGAAGATGCCTACTTCTCATGAATTCCAGCACTGTCATGGGTCAGAGATGTATTAGTAGCTTTTAGTCTATCTCGGATCAAGGAAACTTGGGGAGTGGGAGAAAACTCACCATCCCCTTTCCGGAACAAAACTGTTGGGGCGTATTCCAGAGAAAACCAGTTTAAAAGTACAGGCAAATCTGAGCTCAAGGATAGCAGAGCCAGGGAGGGGAACCCATTCACGGGCTTTAGTGGCCCGGGGCAGTGTGCGCCAGGGACCAGGACACCACTCCCTGTAAGACCTGCCTCCTCTGGCCCCCAGAGACCTTCAATGACTCTCCATCTCTCACCCCTCTTCTCAATGGAGCCATAAAAGCCAGGCACCATGGATCCTCGTGAGACCGTCCGGGAGGACCAACCGGGCTCAGCCAGCCTCTGTCCCCAGACTCCAGGTCTGCTTTCCTCTGCTGGGGCACCGAGAGGCTCTCACCCCACGCGGGCCATGGCCAAAGAGCGCGAAGTGGAGCTCGTCTGCCATCGTACCCCAGAAAGCCCGGCCTTCCTCCACCTGCCCGGCGCACCTAGGGCTCTTCCAGCGCTGGAGGCAGCGTCGCCAAGTGGTCACACGCAGCCCGACCTGGCGCTCGGGGTCCTTGGCGCTGGGGCGGGCGTGGGTCTGACCTCCCACACCTCCCGCAGACAGCACGTGCGAAGCCAGGGCGCACCGCGCGGCGCGGATCATGGGGGCGCCCGTGGGCACGGGGCTGGTGGAGAGAATCTGGAGGCTGCGCGAGGGGGCGCCGCGGGGAGGGATCAAAGCCAGCAACAAAGAGCCACAGACCTCGTCCAGCAGTTGGTTGACTCGTCCCAAAATAGCCGTCTCCATTTGCCGTTCCCCGCGCTCCGCTTCCAGGCGCAGCACCCGGGCCTGCAGCTCCGCAGTCCGAAAGTGGGCGAGCAGGCTGAGCGCTAGCGCGCACAGGGCCAGCGCCAGGAGCCCGCACGACCCCGGG